CAATGCAGCAAAAATCTAACAGGCGAACTGCCTCCAGGCTGCCTGAATGAAGCAAACCAAAGCCCAGAAATAATAACCACGGACCTAAGGCCACCCAAATGTAGATTGTCCAGTCTGAGGAACGTGTTGTCCAAGGTCAGCCCTCTAGGGCCTGTGCGGCTGGTCTAAGAATGCCACACTCCCCCCTCATTGAAAACCGAGCTACAGGTAGGGCGACAATGCTGATCTGAGGGGGAACCAAAGTCTGAGCAGGTTGGTCGGCCTGAGATTGCAACAGCTTCTTTTTCTAGTCATCATCGGTCGTGGTTGGCGATGATATCTGGCCTAACCTAACCAGCTGTATGCGGGTGGCAATAGGTGAAGCATACCTTGTACCGCATCGGCTTGTTCTCATCGTGGATGTGTGTGATGACCCGCTATACCTCCTGAAAGCCAACCAAGGGAGGGTCCTGTGAACTTTGTCCGGGAAAATTGCTGCACCCTGCTGCAAGGTAAATAGCGAGTTTGGATGCACGAAGTATAGGATGTATGTGCGCACACCAATCATAGGAGAAGGTCCGCCTGGCTGGTCGGCTGCTGCTGATAAAATGTGCTAAGGCCCAAACCACTTGGGAAGGAGCTTTCATGAGAGGTCCTCCTCGAGACTAAACTCCTTGCCAGAACCCCAGAATAAGTCACCATTGAGGAATGAGCAAGCTAACCACTGCCGTTGGCCTGCTTCTGCATGCACATCTGCGCTTTGCACATACTCTCCCAGGTGTTTGTGATCAGGTCGCGCATCTTCCTTAGAGAAGCGGGCTTGCCAGGAGGATTAAACTCAGCCTCAGAAGGAATAAGGAAATCCACGTGTAAACGACCCTGCCGGTGGCGGTCAAGCTGGAACGGAGATATTCAATGCTGGATGAAGTGAGGTGTTGCCGGCAAGAACTCGATGCAGGCCAGGGACTGAACCTAAGCCTTCTGGTCCAGATGGATGACAGTCTAGAGCATCATCTGTGCTGTTTGGTGCATTCTCTCTGTCAGTCTGTCAGTCTACAGGTGTTGTGCGGAACTTGGTTTTCAGTTCTAATCCAGAATACTTCATTCGAGCGGTCCAAAAGTTGGATATAAACCGAGTGTTGATGTCCCTGACTATGTTCTCTAAAACACAGCGATGACATATCGAACCCGTGTACAAGGCTTCTGCTAGCTCGGCAGCTTTGGCGCGATACTTGCACAGAACGAAGTGAATGTATTTGCTCGAAGTGTTGACATCCGGAAAAATACCATTGTGACAATGGCCTTGTCATATCCATCATAAATTCACAATAGAAAGGTCAGGTTCACATGGAAACGGTAATGGCTGCATGGGCAACAATTGTGCTTCGCACCTGCTGTAAACTTTGCCTCACTCACAATAGTTCATGACATCGGGCACCAAGCCGGGCCAGTATTAACATGGGCGTAGTCAGGCAAAAATGCAGCTGACACCAAGGTCTTCTACGAACCTGGAGTCTCAGAAATAGATCTTGGGGAGCCCAAAGCTCTTGTTGCACGAATTCACACTTTTCGCAGATTGCCTTGTGCTTGGGCTTGGCAAACCGTGTCCAAAACAACATAAGCACTCCACATCCTCGTCCAATTTCCGGATAGTGATTGAAATGTCATAAGTAGACAAGGATGAATAGGTCTAGCATCACGTGGAACTTGGTGGTTATGGCTGCTTGGAACATCACCACAGAATTTCCAAACGAAAAGAACCAATGTGCCATACGGTGAGTTGCTAGGTGTGATCCACCTTTTGCACGCAAGTTGTAGAGCTGTGCACGAAGTACGGCAAGCCCTTCCTCACTGACATGGTAGATGCATCCACATGGAAGGACCACACCATCCTTTGCAATAGTCTCATGTTATAGTGGCTGGTCCAGAACCACTTCGGCAGGAGTCTTGAAGATATCTGCAAAGGAGTCAAGAAGTGGAAATACGCACACAACCAAAGAAGCGTCCGCCGATGAAGAATCAGATGTGGCGAGCGCATGAAGAAAGCATACTCCAATCTTAGAGACCTGGTCACATGTGCATGTCGAGCGGAAGCTCACTGTGGAAACGGTATGGCAGCTAAAAGAAGGGTGAGGAGGAGGAATGGTACACAAGACTAACTCACCAAATGCATCATGGAGTGCGGTGATGAGAGTTAATTGGGTGGTCCAGGCTGCTAAGCCATGATATCCCCAAGATCATGCCGAACTGCGTCCAATACTGCATATGTGGTGCAAAGCAGATGGGTACTGAGTCAATGCAGCGGTCTATGAGGTGTCGCATATGACCATCAGCGAGCGGGACAACTCGCGGTCGGCCTTTGCAAGATATTTCTCAAGGTCAACAACCATTACTCCGATATGCTATAACAGAGACGGTACTGCAGCACAAAAGTTGCCTCAAGTGCACCGCAGTGCAGGTTCAGTAAGTGGCCAGTGAAAGTGAGGGGTACCCAAATGAAGTCCCCCAGCTCCTCTAGCCTATCCCATGATGTGGCATCCCCAACAAAAGAAACCAGGGGAGGCGAGGTCACAAACCATCGGATCGGTAACTGCACAAGCAAGAGAGTCCTGTGACCGGAGAGGGTTGCCCGACAGCAGCAACTGGGCAGCATAATCCATGAAGCTAGCGGGATAACTAGCAACTTCTGCAGGTTCCCCCAACGTGAAGGAGGCAGCGAACAAGGCAGCCATGTATGGCGGAGTCGGAGGTGCAGTCGCATCATCCCCTGCTACAATCAGTTTCCCGGCCCAATGTCCCGCTTGCCCTTGCGATCACTATCCTTGGTGAGGTGCTTGGTAGTGTTCCACCACATGCAACATCCTTGACATTTGCTAGCGTCTTCTATGTTGCGCGCAAATGCCGTTCTTAGCCCTGGGGGGCTTATTTCGTTGTCCAAGCCGACAGGTGTGGCGGAGGTGGGCGCCTTACCCCTATTGTGGAGTAACGAACTGGCTCCTTGGGTGGCCGTTACATAGTCTCCTGCACTTGACGGTGTAGTAGCAGCCTGGTTCTCGGTTGCTCATTCGATTGAGCGGCCACAAGATATGAACGCCATCAGACTGGCTTCCCTTTCTCTCCACATAGCCTGGCTGGGAAGCAGACTGATTTCTTTCATTCACCGCAACTTTGTTATCCTTGATTATCTCACAGGCTTTAGCAATGATGGATTCAAAGTCCGTAAGCTGCTCTTTGTCGCCAAGAGCTTGCTGCAACTGGTGACACAGGCAATCGAAGAAGCCATGCTTGATGTGCATGAAGGGCAGGTCCAGCTTGGGGAGTGGTGATAATTGCTTGCCATTGTGTGAGCCAGTCGAGCGTGTGTGTGACGTTCCTTGCCACATGGCAAACATCTTGTAGATAAGCAACTGTGGTGGCTAAACCACCTACCATCAGCAGGATTTCACCTAAATGGCTGGCGGGTTCAAGCCTCTCTCTCTCTTGAGTTCTCTACTACTCTGCTGGTCTTGCACCACAGAATGGGAGCATGGTCCGACACTTCTACAATCTACCAACAGGAATTCTGAAGAACGAGTCGTCGAGTTCCCAACCGACCACTTAAACTCCTTTACTTACTGCATCTGGCATTCGCTTCCCCCATCTCAGCTGTTCAGATCTACTATGATCAAGGGCTGAGGTGAGAAGGTTCATCCTGAACTTCCTCAGGCCAAATGAAACGTGAGCAAACTCCAACCTCAGAGGCCCCAGTTGCAGTCCAGCCCATGACCAAACAGAATTAGTTGTCAGGCCAAAATGGCAGGTTAACTAAGTGCAAACCAAACTCGTGCACATACACACTATTAGCCAGTCCATCCCAAGGCTAAGAACGGAGTCAAGTCTCAGGCCAAAATGGATGGTCAAAAAAGTCCAAACTCAGGCCCAGATACAGCTCATTGGCAAGGCCAAACGATGGAACCCAGTCTAATGCCAAAACGTGGTGGGTGAATGAGGCTCGAACTCCTGCCCAGTCCGTTTTTGGCTCACAACTGGGTGGTCTCAAAGTCCAATTCTGATGCACCTCTGCATAGTTATGCGCACGCTGAGCTTTGAGACTGCGGCAGGCTGGTGCAAAGATCCTGACACTATTTCACTCGCAAAGCAACATGCAATTGAGAGCAATCAGATAAAGCTCACATGAGCTTGATATATGGCCATGAACAGTGCAAATTCGAAGTTCCGCTCAGATACAATAATATACAATTGGAAAAGTTTGGAATTCAGCGGTACCAACTGCTGAAACAACCCCCGACTCAGATCCCAACTTTCCCCTGTCCGATCTGCTGCTTTTCTTTCTGTTTCTCTCTCTCCCTCTCCTCTCTCTCTCTCTCCTCTTCTTCCTTATCTGCACTGTTCACCCTCGTTGCTCTCCCTTTCTGTTCTCCCCTCCGTCTCGGTCCTAGATCTACCCTGAATACTACTGCAGCGTGTCTCTCTCAACATCAGGCGGTAATGGCTGCCAAGTCTGCTTCTTCCCCCTCCTGGATATGGCCGTCTCTTTCAGCCAGGGCGCTGGGCGTCTTCCCTTTCAGCGCACTTCTTCGTCCAGCTCGCTAGTTCGCACAGCTCGAACAGTGCTCCACTAATTTGCGAAATGAACAACTGCCTGCCGTCTGGTACTGTAGCCCAAAATATATTGTTTTCCTGGGCTGGGCCTGCCTGCTTCAATGTGTACCGGCTGCCCTGCCAAGTTGCTATTTTGGGAAGGTTCTCACCTTTCTTGTGAGGCTGCTGCAAAAACTGGACCTTTGGGGACTGGCGTGATACTACAGGTACTGTTCCTAAAGGCCTACGACGCCTAGAACTACAGACCCTAAGATTTAACTACCGGTAGGGCCTGCGGACTGCAATAATTGGGGACTCCGTAACAGGGACTGGTAGGCTTGCAGCATGAACCCACTTACTGGGAAGGGTATACAATATATACTGCACCAATAACGTCAGAGGGGTTTGCACATCTTGAATGAGAAAAAACAGAAACGTACCTTAGACAGGGAAAGGAGCTGGGAGTGCATTCCATTTTGGTCGCGGTGGAAGTTCGAGGCCATATTCTCCATTAGTGATGTGAAGCACCAAAACGCATCAGCTTCATCCCCCATAATGTACAATATGGGTGATAACAAATCACTCATGCCCTGCATCAAGGAGACGAACAACCACAAGAGCCCACATAGACCACGATAACCATAAATAGGTTATCGTCAACTTATCAAGTCACAGGAGAGTCAATCGGCAGGGGCAGCAGAACACCACACGACGAGACAACTGCCAATGGATTCCAAAATGGTCAGAACGGTGCCAATTGAATGGCCAAAGCAATGCCAATGGATTCCAAAATGGTCAAATGGTCATGGGGACAAGCAGCACACTTCCAAAATGGCCAAACAGTACTTCGTTGCGGTTTCCCGATAGGAAATCCATGGATCAAAGAGACCTTCTCCCCATGGCGTTTCGCCTTTCATTGCGTCCTTTCTTTCTCAATGCCAAGGCATCCACCCAATGCATTGCCAACAAATGGTGATAGGGACAAGCAGCACACTTGGAAACTTGCGTTTCACCTAGCAGTGCAAACGGGTTCCACATTTGGAAACTTGCGTTTCGCCTAGCAGTGCAAACGGGTTCCAACATGCCCAAAGAGGGCCAAAAGACACCATCATCACCAGACAGTGCCAACACATTCCTAGAGCCCTGAACTCCGGCCAATGGATTCCGACCTGGCCAACCATGCTCAAGCGGTTGTCATCTCACAGTGCGATCAGTTTCCAGCGGGGCCAGGGTCAACGGATTCCAATAAGGCCAAACAGGGTCAATGGTTTACAGTGGGGGCAAACTGGGTCAATGGATTCAAACAAAAACAGTGCCACAAATTTCAACGTAGCCAAACAATCCCACCACTTCCACTGCATCACCAAGCTTCTCACAGATAACGTGGGTTGAAAGTTGCAACACTAATCCTAGTCCCCACAGAAAACTGCCTTTCAGTACAGCTTCCATGCTAAACGTTGTGCCTTTTATGTTTTCACAGACAATGATGTGCTGAGGTGACGCACATCATGTAGAAAACAAAATGTCAACAACAGCAAAATACAAACTTCAAGGAACAGGACAACATGAGGACATGAACTTCCACAGAGACACATTGTTTTTTCATTTCCTGTCTTGCAGTTTGGTCTGATTTGCTTGTAAGTGCTGGGCAGTGCCCATCTTCACAACCTTTGTCAACTTACTCTTGCATCTGTGAAGTTTTCCACATCTTGCCCAGCTTGTAATTTTTTCATTACTTTCTTTAGGTGATGGGGACTGGGCTCTGGTGAATAGGTTTACGAGCTAACTCCGCACACGACTTCACACTCATGACTCACTGTTCATCACATCCAATCTTACACAAGAGATCACACTGATACAAGATGGGAACGCTTTGGAGATAGCTCGAAGTCAAGGTTCTTGTATGCACACGGTTGTGGCTATAGCTGCCAAGTCTATACTCAGGTAAGTCTCTCTCTTTCTCTCCAGCTACTCTACGCTCACAGGCTCACTCACACTCTCTGACTGTCTTCCCTCAACCTCACTACCTCTTGCTATAAGCTATGGTGCCGGATGCCATCGACTACACTACCCCATCTCTCAGCCTCACTCCCTGCATCCTGCACAAGACCGCAGCAGCACTTTTGCATTAGGCACGAATGGAATTTGTGTTGTCGTTATGCTGATGCCGTCCTTATGTACTTGCTACAGTTCACAATTTGGATCTCTCTGGACTGGTACCCTTTCCCCTGCCAACTGTGGTCTGTTTTCAACGCTTCCGGAACGTTAATGGACTTTCCTGGGACTGAGCTGCTTTTTGGACTGACAGACTGGCACCTACTGACATTTAACAAAACTGGGCCTACCAGAATGCTACCCTCCCAGCCTAGTTCTGACAGACCTATCGGGACAGACCTATCGGGCCTACCTACTACTGTATAGACAGGCCTAGGGCTCCTACCAGTTGGGACTATGTTACATGGAACCATGGGACTGGGACTTCTGAGACATTTGAGATCCTTTCACCTTGAAATCAGGTACAAATAATCACCTATGAGTCATAACACAACGGCTGTTCACGTGTGCAGAAAGGTACACACCATCATGCCATGCACAGACACCAGCCTGAGTTTCAAATAGTTCCACCATCTGAATTTTTCTCTTAAGGGGACACATCTCAACCTCTGAAGCGGCAGCACATAGCACTGCATGTGGGCATTTATGTTGAAAGCAAGCGTGCTAGGATCCAGATTCGGGTCCCAGATGAGCCCTCCGGCTGACTTTTAGGCCCAAATTGAGCTGGGACTCTGGGAGATAAACAGCTTGTCCACCACACTGTTCTGGTCCTGAGTTCGGTTTTACCATGACAACTTATCAAAATTTCACACCGAATTACTGTAAACTTGTGGAAGAAATGCCCAGTACAGAAGGGAGAGTAGGTCTTCATGTACTCTTTTGACTTGTAACCGGAAAAAGATCCCGAGGAAGTGTGCATAAACAGACATGAGCAAGAGAGAGAGAGAGAGAGAGAGAGAGAGAGAGAGAGAGAGAGAGAGAGAGAGAGAGAGAGAGAGAGAGAAAACTCGCTATCTAGTCATTACAAGAGGTATCACCATCAAAGTCGTCGCCACATTAGCAGCCATGGTGTTTCAGTTTACCTGACAGTACCCAAGGTCAAAATTGTAGAACGAGTATGTGATCAGGATGTTTCGGAGAAGAGCCACGTTGTGGTTGTTTTCACCTTCATAAAATGGTATACATCGATCTGTTCTAACCTGAGGTTGTCAAAAACAAAGCCAAACAATATGCCACATCCTTAGATAAAATAAACCACAGAGATGGAGCTCTCAAATCACTTCAAAGCATTGTACTTGTCAGGCTTTTTCCGCTATCATGGACTAATGTCGCCAGAGTCATACATAGGCCCTCAGATGCTTTGGGTTCATCCTCTGACCGTAAGTAGGTATCAACTGACTGACATGCACATAGCAATTCAAACGTGCAGGAGCAAGGAGTGATAACTGGAAACCAATTACAGGGAAGGGGAAGGGATCAAGAGCAGATGGAGCTCTGCAGCCCCCACCAATAAATATAGACCTTTAACTCTGACGGACGGATAAAAGGAATCTAAGGACTCTGCCAGACCTTCCTTCCTTCCTGTTCATTATGGTCGACTTTCATGATTACCGCGAATTTGCCAGTAATAAGCAACCGGACTGCCGCCCCCCAGAATAGATGGGGTGTGTGTGAGTTTTTGGAAAACAGATAACTGGAACGATGATAAGCTTCAGCACCATGACTGTGATCCCTTTTTTACCTTTTGAAAGGGTGGCGGCCTTGAGATATCATCTCATTAAAGCAACCGGCCGATGTAATTCAGAAGTTTCTGCAGCTGGTTCCATCCGGATCCTCTATTTCAACAGTGCATGGGTGTACCAACGGTCCAGTTTCAACAGTTCATGGGTGTACCAACTGAGCTGGCCCACATACACACAC